TGAGGAATATGTAAGTATAATACGTATACTAGCGGGAAGCCGATCTACGATCGGGTTATGGTCTCATTCATGAAAATAACCTATCACAATGTAGGTACACTATTAGCGTGTCACTCTTTTTTGGCCCTTAGCAAGGTTGCCAGATTTTTTGCAACGGTCAATTTTTTTCAACGTCTTTTGGCGTTTTCGATTCTTAACACCATATACACGCATATGACGCCCATATTTTGAGAGGACATCTGTCAAAAATTACATTTAACAGGTTGAGTATTCCAAATTGTATTATCATCCGAACTTGAAGTGTATGCAAAATTTCAGCAAAATCCGTTGCGAAGAAATGCTTCAAAAATCTGCACCTGTCATATTTGACAGTTGACACCTGTCATTAGTGGTCTAAAATTAATAATCACTCGAACTTAAAGTCTATGCAAAATTTCAGCAAAATCCGTTGCGAAAAAATTGTTCAAAAATCTGCACCTGTCATATTTGACAGTTCACACCTATCATTGGTGGTCTCAAATGTATTATTACCCGCACCTAAAGTATAAGCAAAATTTCAGTAAAATCCATTGCCACCTCGATTGCCACTTAGAGTATATGCAAAATTTTGGCAAAATTCGTTGCGAAGAAATGGTTGAAAAATCTTCACCTTCATCATATTTGACAGTTGACACGTTGATACCTGTAATTTTTGGTCTAAGATGTACTATCACCCAAACTTAAAGTGTATGCAAAATTTCAGCAAAATCCGTTGCGAAGTAATGGTTCAAAAATCTGCATCTGATAAGCTGAAGAAAAAAAAAAAAAAAAAAAACATATCAGTATGCAGGGTGTCCCAGGGAAAACAGTCCACCCCGGTTTATTGGATTTGGGATGAGAATCTTGAAAAACGCTCGGACACGTCGATTTTTGATTTGAGGGGGAACTATTTTTAAGTTTCTTTCATCCCCGTAGCTTCAACCCCCTAGCTAGGGGGAGAACAACCCCCCAAATTTGAATAAGGGATAGGGGTCGTGTCATATCTCTTTTTAAAGGTCTCTTCGAGTTCTTGATGGCCCTAGAATGGCAATTTCGTCTCATTATTTTCATCCGTAACGAAATGACAGCTTGTCAAATTCTTGTAAATAGACTAGGTATTAGTTTTAGTGGGAGTAAAAGCGATACTTACCTCCCTTAATAAAAATACTTCAAACTGGAGTTTTTTATTATTATTATTAATGAGGTGTACAAGAGAATTGTAATTGTAGATATTTTCACAAGTGCTAGAGCTAGACGGTGAACGAGCATTCGACAGAGTAGCAGAAGCAGACTACAAAGTGGAAACCGTCAAACGGTTAGAAAAGTAGCAGGTAGGTGTAGGTAAAACTTAGATCTTAGATCTCACTCGCTGAAGATTGGCGAACACCATTCAAGGACCAGAAGACTTCGTGGCTCGCAGTAAAGTACAGGGGGGTACTCCTCCTTGAACTCCTCTTCCTTTTTCAGAACAACTTCACCTCTAAAAGCCCTTTCTCTAGTATTGCTTAATATCCAGTCTGTTAGGAATAAGGCAGGGTCGTCTTAAGGCATGGGCCCGCTGGGCCCGGGCCCAGGACCTCGGCGCCAAAGGGGCCTCATCGCTAAATCCACGCCCAATTTAAAATAAAATTTATAGAAAAAAAATGGAAAAAAAATATAGGCGGGTAGCGATAGAATGCAACTTAAATGTCACAATTTACTTTGACTTTGTTCAAAACCTCTATATACGATTTCTTTTCCTCGTCAATGCACCGTTGGGAAATGAATTCAAATTTAAGTTCCTATCATAAAGTACTGAAAAGCTTATCAAAAACACGTTGGTCTTCACGTGAAGACGCAGTTACAGCTTTAAATTGTGGATACAGAAATCCAAATGAGCCTTGATACCTTAAGTGCCGGTACTTTTGCTCTTATTTGACAGCCGTTAAAAAAAATCAGGGCTTTGAATGTACTCTAACCACATCATACTTATAGACCTTGGCCCATGCAAAACTTTGACAACACAACGTATCAAATTCGTTAATCGATAGCAAAAGTATCGGCCCTAAGAATGACAAATTGCAATCAGCAGATACACGTCTTACTGCAAAAACATTAAACAGCAAGATGGATGACTTAGAAACTACTTTCTTAACTATTTTTTGGAATGATATTTTGACTCGGACTAACAGAGTAAATTTGTTCGTCCGAAAGGAAAACTGAAATTTGTTAGTCCAAAAGGAAAACTAAAATTTGTCTACAACTGTAATAGTTATTTACCTAACAAATGCGGAAAGTGATACTTTACCGCACGCAACGGCAGTTGAACGAACGACGCGAAGCGGAGTTCGGTCAAGCCGTTAACGGCGGTAAAGGCACTTTCCGCATGTGTTAGGTACAACATTTTACCTATGAGCATCTACACATCTCCAAAAAAAGGCATTGAAAAAATTAATTAATGAATCAGATTTATTAATGAAATTAGATTAGATTTAGAAATGATCAAAAATCCATTTTTTGAAAAAGAAAGTATTTTTTATTATAAATATAAAATTCTACTTTACCGCACACTATGCGGTAAAGTGCACTTTACCGCACACTTTGTAGTCCACTTTACCGCACACTATGCTGTAAAGTTAACTTTACCGCACACTATGTGGTAAAGTAACTTTACCGTGTGAGGTAAAGTTAACTTTACCGCATAGTATGATGTTTTTCAGAAAATGATGAAATTTTTGATCATTTCTAAATCTAATCTAATTTCATTAATTGATATGATTTATTGATTAATTTTATTAATGCCTTGTTTTGGAGATGTAGATGTTCATAGGTAAAATTTTGTACCTAAACACATGCGGAAAGTGCCTTTACCTACCTTAAAGGCTTGACCGATCAACTACCGTTGCGTGCGGTAAAGTATCACTTTCCGCATTCGTTAGGTAAATAACTATTAAATCATTAATGGCATATATAAGAGAAAAAGAGACGATTTTGATTTTTATGAATCAAAATCCAGAGAAAAATCTGTTTTAAAAATATTAGGAGTGAAAAGACAAAGTAACTTTCCTTGAAGGTAACGGGTAACAAAATATTTGAAAGAATCGGTTTTTTTGAAAAAATGTCTGACCATGTGAAATTGAAATTTCAAGAGAAGCGGTAAAACTGTCACAATTTTATGACAAAGAAACCGATGAATTAATTTTGGAATGTGACCATTTCAAATCCTATATCAGCATAGATATTGAAAAACTAAAAAAACAGGAAGTAGAAATGGGGAGGAAACATGAAATTGGTATGAGAATTTTTTTTATCCATGATTTGTTGAGTATTGAAAGCGAAATTTTACAAACCGTTGATTTTGAAGACGTAATTCACGATTTTGCCTCTGTAAACTCTAGAAAACGACCTTTGTAATTTGTTATTTTCTTTCCACAATATATACATTACATTTTCACATTTCAAAAGTTTTTCTAACTTATTCATGTCGTATGCCCTAGAGCACCCCCCCCCTGTAGGTAAGGGGCCTCCTTTGACATATAGGCCCAGGGCCTCAAGAAGTCTTAAGACGTCCCTGGAATAAGGTGGATACTTTGGTAATACTTTTGGAGTCTGAATTTTCCTAACAATGTTATTTTGGTGAAGCACTAGTTTAGATGTGATGGATCTCTTGGATTTGCGAATTATTCACTGTTGTCGAACTATTCTCGGAAGCAGTATGTACATTTGATCATCGCAAAGTAAACCAGTGATGTTATCATAACATTGATATTCCAAATAAAGTAGGTATTTTCTGGAGTTGAGGTAATATATTGGACCTTGGTTTTTGACTGGACTTGCGATTAACATGTATCCTAGTTTCTATTGTACCTAATGAGTTAAATTTTGTAGGTATGTATAAAAACCATAATAATGTCATTCTTTGTTCTACACTGTTGTGTATTGTGCTCGATACTTTGTCGTTTTATACTTTTGTCTGTTTCTCATGCTTTGGTAAGACTGGCTTTTTCTGTTTTTTGTTCTTTCATTCTCTGTTCTGATATATGTTTTACCTTTAGTTTTTAGACTTTATTTTAGTATGGCTGTGTCAACAACATTTTTGTTCTGAGACAATAAAGCTATCTTTTGACTTTGACTTTGACTTTAACTGGAAATTAGAGCTCCTCAAGGGTCGGTGCTTGACCGCAATAAGGTACTGAAGCTACACCCAAGGCCAAGGCATTCCGAAGACCGCGCAGTCAAGAAACCCAAATCAAAATTGAGATGAAACTAAAGTAGAGAGCCTGCGTTGAACTATAGCCTGAGAAGTCACGGGACCTTATTGAATCCGAAAATTACCATGGATATGAGGACTAAAGCAAAGATAATAAAAGCCATATAAGTCTGATCATAAAGTCTTGACTTTTTCGAGTGCGTGATCTAAGATTTTGGACGCTAATTGGATTGGCCAAAATTAGGGGGTCGACTTGGGCGACCAGCGTTTAGTTTAAACGATTAACTCAAGGCCCTAGTGAGGCCCTAAAATCTAGCCATTCTGCATCCAAAATCTCAGGATCCCGCACTCGAAAAAGTCTATAGATATATGAACGGACTATAACTGGAGCTTGAAACTAATGTTTCTGATTTTGCTGATTAGGTAGAGCAGGGGCAAATGTAAACACTCCTAATGAGCCATTCGCAAGCTTTTATCCATATTCTAGCAAGGTCAGCTAATTATTAAAGCAAAGTCTAAATCTCTTTATTGAGAGGAGCTCTCTATCAAAAGTGTAGAACCGTGCAATGTCTTACACTCTTGAATCCGCTTTCTTACAAATTCAAGGAAATCCAAATTTTCCAATCTTTGAGTAGCCTTATTCAATTGTTCCAATGAGTTGCTCTAGAATTAGCTATTGAACAATAAGGCGATTCGAGACGCGAATACGTCTTGCTCTCGTCTTGTTGGCATCACACTTGATGATTATCTTTGATTCAACTTACTTTGAAAAACTCGAAAAGAATACAGCTACTAATGGAAAAGTCGCTTTACTAACAAATAATATCACTCAAGAACAAATTGATAAGTGACCAAATAACACACTAAAATCTAATAATTAAAAATTAAAAATACTGATTAGTTCTATATGTACAATAAATATTCTTAGAATCTACGCATGTTGTTTGGATGCAGGAATATAAAACGCGTCCAAGGGAACGTGCATCAAAAGTTTATTGGAAATGCTCATGAATAGGGCTGCTAACTTTTTTCTTAACTGGGGTAGCATCACTTTGAAGACTTCGTGTCCGTTTTCCCTAAGGAACAAGTTAATGGCTTCAGCTAAAAATTGAAAAAGTGAAAAGCTATAATACGAGGCACTGACAGTATATTATTCCAAGGACTTACTTAAAATTCTATTATTTTTGAAAATATTCTTAACCATCATTCTCATTTTTTTCACAGTCAAATCCACATGAAGCGCATCAACGTTTAAGTATTTTTGACCGTTGATTTCGTTTACACTAGCTTTACCTTTCAGCATACAATCAAGATCATCTAAAAATTACGTGTTTTAATGACAATTGTTAATTGTTTGGATTTGAATGCAAATCTGTACCAAATTGTCCTAAAAAAGTTCCATTGCCGCTGGCAGGTAGAATAATAAGTACACCACTACTTTGGTATCTTGCATTAATTTTCAAGGATGGTATGTTGATTTTGGCTTCAAACGGTTTTCCATTTTCAGATAATCTAGAAATAAATTATTTATTTTTGAAATCCTGCAATAATACCTAATTCCTCACTTGAGCCTTGACATGGAAAAATTACTAGCGCCATAAATATTCATTTCCTTCAATGAAATTTTATAGCCATTAGGACCTCCTGTTAGGGATAATGAGAGTTCATCCATTAAAAAAGGTTCCACTGAAGGTAGTTCGATTTCTTTGATGCCATTAGCTAAATAAGGCTTCAAATGATGTAGGGCACTGATGAAACAGTCGATGACTTTCGGATCGCCTTCGTAGCATTGTTTGACGTATGGTGCTGAAACAGAATCAAGAATTTATGAAACGATTGATTTTTCTACGATAAAGATGGTGAACGCTAAATTCTGAGTTCAATCAGTCGCCGCCTGAGATACGAGCATCAGGCAAAACTTAAAGAAAAAACTTGTTAGAGTAAGATTTCTATCTTTCAATTTTTGCTGTGGCATCCCCGAAGTTGAGGCATTTTTTTAAATAACAAAACTCCATGAAATGTGGAAATTTTCATCTTCTTTGTCCAGGACACACTGCATCTGCCAATGCTCCACTTCCCTGGACTCAGTTGGAGAAGTGTGTAATTATATGATCCAGATATTGAAGCCCCCTTTTTTATGATGCTAATGATTTCCCACTTCTTCTGCTTCCGGTTCAGCATTTCGGCATTAGTAATTCTATCGGTCCAGGAAATACGCCGCATTCTAAGCTAGCACCACATTTCGAAGGCTTGTAGTTTGTCGATGTGGTTTTTTTTGAGGGTCTATGTTTCAAATCCATACAAAAGCGCAGAAGCATCCGCATCCTAAGTTCCATGTTGATATGCCGACTCGTAAATACATTTTTCATTGTTTGATCACAAACTTCTATCCAAGTTCTTATAGATATGTATATGTCGGCACATTCTCTATCGTGGTGTTTGCCACCGTCGCGTCAGGCTCAGATGGTTCAGACTTTGTGGGAACTCTGTAACCACCATTAACTTGGTTTTCTAAGAGTCAATTTTTAGTCTGTATTAATTACATTGATCATTTAGTTTTTCTAATGTTGTGTGTCTTCAAGATTGCTCGGTAATAAAACAGTGTCATCGGCATGTCTCATATTATTATTCACTTGCCATTTATTTATAAATATTCCCACTAACTAATCTTCTAAGGCTTCCCTAAATAGCTATATAGGTTAAGGAGAAGCGGCAATAGGATGCAACCTTGTATCTGGTCTCACAACACGACGAATCTGCATTTCTTCTGTTAGTTGGTTGTCTACCATTGTAGTACCTTTTTGGCCCCAATATAGGTTAATAATTATTCTAACGTCCTCCGAGTCAATGTTTTTGCTGACGAGTAGCTGATGTAACTTGTCATGTTTCACTTTGTCAAAGGCTTTCTCGAAATCGATGAACATGCATGCACCTCTTGGTTCATATCGAGACAGCGCTGCCAAAGAACGTTAATCCCAATCTTTTGTCGATGATCTTTAAGAACAACTTCAAGGTGTGGCGCATAAGTGCGATGGTTCGGTAATATGAGCATTTTCTTGGATTTGGTTTCTTGGGTATGAGCACAAAAATGGATGAAAACCATCGTTTAGGAATTTCCCTCTTATCATAAATGCGGTTAAAAAAGTCCAGCAAGATATCAAGTACATTAAAAGAGTTTGATACTTTATCGGTATCTGATCAGGACCAGCAGCTCTTCCGGGTTTCATATTTTCCAAGGAATATGCTATTTCTGATCTTAATAGGTATTTATAAGTGCACATTGCTCGATTCTAAAACCGGTTTTGGAGGTCTTTCATCATCGAAGAATTCCGACAGGTATGCTTTATTGCTTTCCAGCTTTTAAGTTTGTCCCTCACGTCAGTTATATGCCCATTTGTATCCTTGATTACTAGCTGCCTCGACCCTGGTTGCATCCAGCCATTTCCTTTATCTTTTTGTGCATGTGAAAGCTGTCAAATTTATTTTCTAGTACTGTAAAACTTGAAAGTTACGAGGCAACTTGAAAATCCTTGCATCATAAATTAATATATTGTTCTACCACCTTGGTGTTAAAGATGGAACCCCGTAAATCCCAAAACGGTTGCACCATGTTATGAGAGTCCGCGTGGTGCTATTCAGATCACCCTCGGTTGTTCATGTTGCCGAGTCGCTGTGATAGAATTTCAAGACAAAAACGTGTTATTTTTGAGGCTGAATACTTCCAGTTGGTGCAGGTAAGTGGAATATTTCTAGGTGGCGTCAAATTAATTTTGGTATGCCTACTTATTAGGCTGAAAGATCAACGATGGTCATCATAGTTTACAAATGGCGGCCTCATTTTTTTTTTGTCATTCCAGGGGCTACTTGACAAATGGTACAAAACTATGTACGAATGGTTGGGAGTAGAAAATACAGAAATTATTCGGATGAAAACTTGCGCGAGGGCATTAGAAGGTGAAGGAGGGGCACAAGCTTGAAGGAAAACAGTGAATTGTACAAAATTCTGTAGATTAATTGATATGTATCTTTGAATAATAAACGTCTTCCTGATGTAAAAATGTCATTTTTTTTTTTTTTGGTTTTCATAATACCTATTTTTTATTCTCTTTTTCATGAAGCCTCAATCAGGCTCCTATTTGCATTTTTAACGCTACAAAACAGATATTTTCAAGAAACACCATCGGGGGGCGACTTGAAAAACACCCTTTAAAATTTTTCTGCCGAAAAGAGATGGGGGATGGAGAGATCATTTTTATGGCAATCGATAGCCAAGGGTCCAAAGTAATCTAGAAAAAAAAATATTTGGCTGCAAACGCTCTACTCTGATGTGTGCGATTAATTGAATTCCAAAAATGCTATCAAGTAGCCCCGGTTTACAGTACTTCTATTTCCTCATATTGAGCTACTAAATATTCTTCTTCTGCTTCACTTATTTTTCTCTCTACTGCTTGTAGTATCCTGTACTCATCTTTATTGCCTTTGCCCTTTCTGCTTTCTTCCATAAGATTTAGAATTTCTGATCTTATTCAGGTCTTTTTCTTGATTTTTTTTTGCTTGTTAGATGTTTTTAGCTATTTTTTCTAGCCCTGTTTTTATTTGCTTCCACTTTTCATCCACACTGTCTTCATTAGATGTATTAATGTGTCTCATACATTCGCTGGCCTCCTTCTTAACTCTGTCATGGTTAAGAATTCTTGAGAAGTTTTGGGTCTATATAGCTGTTGAGACGTTTTGTTATCTTTTTCATCTTCATATGAAGTTTAAGTATAACTGGATTGTGGTCGGAACTAATGTCAGCCCTTGAGTATATTTTAGCAGCTTTAACTGAGTTCTTATAGAAGTTGGTAATGAGGATGTACCTAGTCTATTTGGTTTCTAGCTGTAATTCCTGAGTTATCCGCAGGGGATATATTCTCCAGGGGTACAATCTACGCTCTGGTAGTTTGGAGAAGGTATTTATCATAAGATCTCTAATTTGACAGAACTCTACCCAGTCGATCTTCCATATTATTCCTTTCTCCCAGGCCAAAACTCCCTGTGTGTGCTTTGACGCCTACTTTGGCGTTGAAATCTCTCATATCTATTGTGATAATATTACTCTTTATGCTTAAAAATAGCATCAAGCACTGGACCCTTAAATTTTATGAATATTTCTTCAAAATTAAGATAAACAGTCCCAAAAATAGCGTAAAGAAACCTGAAAAAGGGGCGTGGCACCCAAAACTTTCGCGCCTGCGGCGCTTTGCCTCCAGCAGCGGTCGCGGTAGGGCCGCAAGAGACGCTTCCTGCGAATTTGCCCCCCCCAAGACAAAATCCTGGCTACGCCACTGGCATCAAGATCAGCATAAAATTCTTCAACTTCGTCGTTATCTTTATACGCTGTTGGTGCATACACCTGTATTATGTTCACATTTCCTGTATGTGTCTTAAGTTGAAGCATCATGGACTCTGTCTGAGTAAGGTGTAAAATTTAAAACCGAACCTGCAAATTTTTTGTTTAAAATCACTCCAACTCCATATAAATGTTCTTCCATTAAGGGGATTGAATGCGCCTCGATGCCAAAATATTTTTTCCTGCGCGAAGCACCTAACGCAGTCTATCATTATATTCTTCCCCCCCTATTAATACTCCTTAGTGGGAATGAGATGAATGAAACAAGGAATGCATTGCGTTCTTAGTTTCAACGTAACTTTTTAGCAGTTGAAGTTATATCAAATTTCTTTTTTGCATTCGATTTATAATATAGGGAAGAATGGCGCTATCTTTTTAGAAATCCGGCAATAGAAACGAGTTCTCGAAAAATTACAAAAATGTAATTTAAACTGGAAAAAAACGAGTAAATTAATCAATTTATGGTGTCTTTTTTATTTAGCGCCAATCTTATGTGTGTTAGCAATACAATAGCACAAACCAGAATCCCAAAAATCATCTATACCACTTCCAGAATTATTTCACTCTAGTGAAATTTGATTTCAAATTAATGAAAACTAAATTCATATCAGTGAAATCTAATTTCGCTCAAATGAAAATTGATTTCAAAGTTACGAAAACTAATTTCTCTCAAACGAAATTTGATTTCACATTTGTGAAAAAGAATTTCAAACTGACCCTAATAATTAATACTCATTTTTCAAACATTTATTATTTTAGTTTGAAAAAAACATCAACAAATGTTATTTATTTCACCGTAATGAAATAAACCCACTGGGTTCACATAACGTAAAATACAATGGAGGGGGTGATTCGTCGGTTAGGACAAATAAAACTTAAAAGGCCTGTTAATCTTTGCCAACGTTTTGCCCAAAAGTTTAGGGCTTCATCAGGGCTTAAATATATATTAGGAACATCAAAAAAGTGCTAACAAAAAACTGAAGTTTATACATGCCTTATACTTAAAAAATTATGTGGCTAGAATTATATAAAATAGTGCGAGATTTTTCAGGATGGAACATTCAAGTGCACATAATCAAATCACAATACATTGATAAAATTGTAAAAAGGCAAATTTTTTAATATTTTTTTTGTCCTAAGCGACGAAGTATCACCCCCTTCATTGGATACCGATAGGACACAAACTTCCCTTAGAAAAAATACAATCATGAAGCAATTAACAATATTAATTATAAATTATTTAAATAAATTGAACTTCAGTTGAATCTTCTCACTCTTGAGATAGCTGTGTTATACCACGTGATTTGCCAAACTGAAGTTTAATTTATTTAAATAATTCATACTTATTTCATGATTGTATTTTATTTTATCTAAACCACAGTTTCCTGAACTCAGTGGGTTTATTTCATTAGGC